CAGTGTCGAAAGCCTTGCTGAAGTCTAGGTAGACAACATCCACAGCTCTCCCCTCATCTACCCAGCCAGTTATGCCATTGTAGAAAGCTATCAGATTGGTCAGGCATGATTTCCCCTTGGTGAATCCATGCTGACTACTCCTGATAACCTTCTTTTTCTCCACTTGCTTGTTGATGACCTCCAGGATAAGCTGCTCCATCACCTTTCCCGGGATGGAGGTGAGGCTGACTGGCCTGTAGTTCCCTGGGTCCTCTTTCTTTCCCTTTTTGAAGACTGATGTTGGCCTTTCTCCAGTCCTCGGGCACCTCTCCTGTCCTCCAGGACCTCTCAGAGATGATGGAGAGTGGCTCGCAATGACATCCACCAGCTCCCTCAGCACTCGTGGGTGCATAAGCCTTTACCATTCTCACCCATTGTGAGACTTCCTGGGCATGTGGCCATGAATGCCAGCACCTAACTCCCAGTGCATGAAAGCTAGCTAGAAGACAACTCTGTGAAACAGAGTTGCAGAAAACAGAGAAAATTATGGAGGGGACGGCAGGGAGGAATGACTGAAGAGGATCTCAGTTCGACATGGTTGTCCATGCTCAGGAACTGGGCTAACTAAAAAAATTAAAAGTATTTCAAAATCTGATTCGAAAACCCTGAGTGAGGACAGCCTACAATTTCACACTACTGAACTGAAACTGTTGTGAGGACAGCTATTAAAAAACAAAAAAGCATTTTGAAAAGGAAGTTTCCATGATATAGAGGTCCTTCACAAACAACGTCAAGCAGAAGCATTCCACATACTTTTAACTACGTTATGATAGTTTTAGAACATTTGACATTTTTATCAAGAACAAAAATGAAATTAGATTTAAAACCTGTTTCAGAGAATCACCGTGCCTTTCCTGAATGTACTTCAGAAATGCAGTTGTCCATTGTAAAGTTGTCGCCTTATCAGTATCAACAGTACAGAACGGGACCAGAAGATTCAGCTCATCACAACAAATCCGGATTCTGCGCCTACAGGCAAATACGAACGGGTGTCAACCGACGGGCGAGAAGGAAGGAAAGGAAATACAAAAAGAAAGACTACTCACATGCGCTACAAGCCCTGGACTTTGGCGCCTTCTTTTTGTTTGCTACAAGCTTTGTATTTGTATATTAGTCATGTTATTCGTAAGTTACCTTATCCTTGTAGAACTGGGTAAATGTTTTGAAATCTTTTTGTTTGTTTATAGAGTAAAAAACAACAAACACGACCACAACGCAACACAGATATTTTTTCTGCTAGCAAACACCAAACCCTCACCAACTGCATTGTTTTTTCTTGTAGGTAAAACAAAGTATGTCAAATTTACATTTTACTCTGGATAATGATGGGCGTATGACAGTATCAGTATTTTTTACTCTGGATAATGACGGGCGTATGACAGTATCAGTATTTTAGGCTTCGAAAACTTTGCCTCGCCACTCCTCCCAGAAATTACCTTCTGTCTCTCTCCATGCGGTTATGTCTCTCTCTTCGCTGAGCGATTCCGTCCTGTGCACTGCTTTGCACCTGCATACTTGAACTTGCCTGCGCTGACTGCCACAGGCCCTGGGCAGCTGCAGCACGCTGGCTATCATCACGTATATTTTGAATTTCACTAAGAGGTTTGCGATCTGTGTTTGTATCTGATAGGCTTATTTGGCTGCAACTTCTTCTGTTTATTTCTTGCTTACATACGGTGTCTTCTTGGAAAAACAAAGAGGAAAAAAAGAGCCTATTTATAACTCTCCCATGAACCACTGAAAATTAAGACAATGTAAAATTTTTGAAAAAACCTAGATTGTCTCTTCCAGCAGCACATGTCCTTCGGAAGCCCTCAGGCACAGCTCACTTTTCCAAAATCTACCCAGCCTCTGTTTTCTCAGAGAACCCCTTGAAATCATACCTGCCTTTGATTAGCATGTGAGGCAGTCCTCTAAATGCTCTTCACTTTGATGCCCATCGGATCTGCTATATCAACTTTGGGTTCAAAAAGTGTAGAAAGAAGCCAGTTACTTACTCTAGGCCCAGATTTTCAAAGGTACTTTGCAACCTTGGGTTTTCTCATTTCAAGCTAGAAGTGCTAAACAATTTTGAAAGTACAGCTAAAATCACAGGTGTGGAATTTTTTTGGAGAAATCTAGTCCCATATTGCCTACAGCACACCTCAGACATAAAAACCACACCTCATATGACTGACTAAAATCATATTCATTAGAAAAAAACACACAAATTCAGAAAAAATTGTAGATTTGAAGGCCAAGAGGAAGCTAAGTGAAAAGAAGATAAATGGTTTACCTCCAATTTTAATCCAAACTTCCTCAGGCAAAGCTTTACTCATAGAACCCAGTGCCTGTTTTGTGGGTTCAATTTCCTGATAGCAGAAAGTCTTGGGTATGCCAAGGTCTTGATGTCTGGCAGCTTCCAAAATAGCACAGGACATTCCAGGGGCCTGTGAAAACCAAAAAGGAAATACTTAGAGGACTACACACATGAAAAGGAGACTATTTTGGTATCTTCATGTTAACTCCTTAAGTTTTAGCCCCGTGATTCAATGCGTTGCATCAGAATAAAGTCCGATTACTTCTGCACACCACAACCATAGGATCTGAACAGACTGCTGAATTTTTGGGGGACACCTCTGGCATTTCTGAGTGTCACGCTATCGCTCTTGCTTCACAGGTTACTGTGAGTTGGGGGAAAAAAAAATCTTTTTAATCAAAATTAATCACGAAGAAAAGGAACCATAGAAAATGGTACTAAGAGTTGCCATCTTGCCTTCAGTAGACGAAGCAGATACACTGATAAACTCAAGAAAAAAAGTCCTTCCAGTAAGAAATCCAATGGCCTGTCGATTATTACCTGGATGCACGTTATTACAAATGACCTAACTGCCACTCAAGCAGTTGGTGTGGCAAATTACTTTTGAAGGTCTTCAAGATTAACATAAGAATAAATAAATTGCATTACAGATCATTCAGATCATCCCTATTCAAACCACACCACACTTTAACACAAACCTTTCGATTGACATCACACTTACGAGGTTAACATTATTAGCATTTGAAATTAGCAGAGTACAACGAGTCGGTGAGTACGTTATCTACCTGTGCTTGGGAAGCATTCGCGCTTCCAGCAGCAGAACATGCGTTCATGGTAAATAACGGGTATGTGAACTGTAAAGAAGGCGTGGCAGGTGCGGTCTTACTTTTCCCTAATGCAGCACACTTGTTTTCTTGCTGATGAAGAGGAACACCTATCAGTTCTGATGGCTGTCGAATCAATGTTACTAAACTTAAAAGAACAAAAACAAAAATAACAAAACCAACACAGAAAACATACCAGACTGACTACTTGAAAATGAGTGCAGAAAAATTTACAGCTACACATACTTCTAGTAACTATCACCAAGAAACCACTTGTCACTGACTGTAAACAGAACTCGCTGTTATTGCCATCTTGCCTACTTCAGGGACAAAAAAAAGAAAAAAACAGCTGAGAAGGTGTTTTATTCTGTGCAGTAACAATTCAGCTGTATGCCGCAATAAAACAGTTCATCAGCACACCAATACAGTTACAGGGCCAGATTGTAAAGCAGTATTTTTGCTCGAAGTTTTCCCCATCATCAGGCCTCCACATTACAACACTACTTAATTGCTCTTCATATTTTACTGTGATAAAAAATCTACTTTGCTTTCAGGAAGCTGCATGTTAAAACAAGGCAATGTTCTTCCCTCACCTTTATTTACGTTACATGTTGTCATCAAGAATAAAGTTGCAAAGTAATTAATTTTGGAACTGCACGCTGTACCATTTCTGCAACATATGGAGGGGCCTAAGCTGAGGTCGGGGGAGTTGCAGCCACCTTTGACTGGCACAGTTTAAAAAAGCCCGACCCATCACTCTCATGTATTAAAAAAGTATTGTTCTTAGGTTCGGTGTAGAAAACCAGTTTTGAACTATACGATGATACATAGTTTAACAACATAAACTAAAATTAATTGTAACACACTTGTTAAGGGTTACTCCAGATTCTTGGGGTTCTTGACATCTGGGGTTTTCTGTCTGGATGCTGTTGAATCTGTCTTCCAACCGAACTCTGACTGCAGATTTAGATCTAGGCTCTGGTGCCAGTGCCGAATTTTCAACAAGTATGTTTCCTTTATTCGTCCCAACAAAATTTTCATCATGTTTAACTTTTACTAAACTGTGTCCTGGGACTTCTACAGAGCTACTGTTAGGCGTTTTATCGGTTTGGTTCACAGGGAGGTTAGACTCGCCAAGTAACATCATTCTGAGCTCCTGAAAGTCAGCATAGCCCAAACATGGGTTTGAACTGAGCAAACTGCTGTCAGAAGGTAATCCTGACTGACAGACAACCGGGTAAACCGGCTGGTTCCCAGAGCTGTTTGCAGAACACCCCTCCTGACCGGTGCTCAGTGAGGTCTGGTGCTGAGGGGGGTCTGCAGAATTACCGGGCGAGGAGAAAGAAGCGAGCCTAGCTTCCACTTCACCTTCACTAGCTTGTGCCTCCACATGTGAGGAAAGCATATGCTGCAGCTGGGTATACTCAATTTCCATCATCTCCACCAGGCCGACGTCTGTGGTTGTGAAGCTAAGGTTCTGCTCACCAAAGGAGACGTCACTTGAGCCTCCAGGTCCGACAGCAACCGGAGCCGGGTCAGGAACACTAGCTGGGCTTTGAGGAACCGAGGTCGGAGGCTCCTCCAGGGCTGATCCTGACATGACTACAGTGAACCTACTCAGTTAGCAATGTCTCTTTCAACAGTAAACCTTAAGACCTGCAAGAATTATCAGTAACGGCCATTAAAACAAAGGGGGAATTGCCCTTAAGACCGATTCCGTGCTATGGCGAGGTAGCGAGGGGCTCCTGACAGCGCAGCACCAGACGGGACCACCTCTCCCCCTCCAGTGACCCCCCTCTCAGCCCCCAGCCCCCCCTCTCCCACCCCAGC